AAAATTTGTAAACCCTCGCATCTATCTCGTTTTCCAAAGACAGGACAAACCATGGTCATTTTGCTTAAGAAAACAAAATACAGTTTTTTGACTAGGAGAGAATAAGCCGTAATTTCCATGAAGAATACCAATACATATTTGGCAAGTCGCCTATTCCTTCTTTTTTTAATGCGGTTAATTTTGACAAAATCAATCACCGCGTGCCATTTAATTTCAAAAAAGGCATATAATTTTTGGCCATAAAGGTTTACATTAATAGAGGTTACCATTTATTTAAATATTATTATAAAATTTAAAAATTATTTTAATCATTTATTATCATTTAAATTAATAACTGTTTTATGCCACATCTCCCCCAAAATATAAATGCATTCGTGGTTGTAATCAAATCCGAATTTTTTTCGTTTTTTTTCTCTCTCGAGAGAGAATAATTTTTTAAATCAGTTTATTTGTTATATTATTTTTAAAGAGACATTTGTATATTTCCCAAGACATTATATCCTTTTCCCATCCTCGTGTTTCTAGAAAGAACCCAATTAATTAATTAATAAATATATATATTATGAAAAAAATTTTAGAAGGGATTTTTATAAAAGGGTAATTTAAAAGGTCTTGGCGAGGATTGAACTCGCGATCTTCTGATTCAAAGTCAGATGTCATAACCGCTAGACCACAGGACCTGTCTTAAATTAAATCCATTTTTTATGAATTCAAAAAAAAAACATATTCATAAAATCAGCATCCAAAATTATTTCAATAATTCACCTAAAATTATCTTAGTCGACACTAATTTTGCTTATTTTGCCCTAAAAAATAAGATTGACCTTTTTCTGGGGATCGCAAAATGTATTAGTTCCGAGTTTATAATTTGTATTTCAAAATGTGTTTTACTTGAACTTGAAAAATTGGGGCCCAAATTTCGACTAGCTTTGAGACTTTTAAGGCAAAAAAAAATTATACAATTGGTTTGTTTACACCCCCCGACAATTATTTATGCAGACGATTGCTTATTTAATTCAATAAAAATAAAAAAAAATATAATCTTGGCAACATGCGACAAAGATCTTAGAAAAAGGGTGTGGAAAATATCCGCAATGCCAATTCTATCGATAAAAAAAAAAAATTTTGTTTTACTAAATAAATAAAATAAAGACAGTTGTTTATATATATTTTTCAATTTAAAGAATTATATAAAATTTTATGAATTACAATAATAGTAAAAAAATACTGAAGGAATTTTTTCTCAGATTTTCAAATGAAAACAAAAATTTTCGAATTTTAAATAATAAGATTAATAAAAAAATCAATGGATATCATAATCAGATTCAAAATATTATCCATAGAGAAAGTAGAACTTTTATTTTTTATTTGAAAGATTTAAAAAAAATACCTTGTAAAATAATAAAATATCATGCTTTTTCAAACACCAAAAGATTTTTGCAATTATTAAAAGATTCTATTCATGATATTATAAATGATTTAATCTTTACTGTAATTTATAAAAGCAGCGATTGCAATCTAAAAGATACCATAAGTATCAAATCTTTAGATTCCGAAAAAAAAAAATTTTTTTTTTCTTTCCAAATTATCCTAGTTCCTTATAAAAATTTGCCTTTGTTATCGATAAAAAAATTAAATGCTAATTTGATTGGTAAGTTTTCTTACGTTAGAGGAAGAATTTCTATACAAAATTCAACTAGATTAATCTTGACGGACGCCGTATACTTTTGCAATATTTGTAAAATAAAAATAAACCAGAAAGTGAATTACGAAAAATTTAAGCCTTTGTTATATTGTCCTTCTAAATTTTGTCGACAAAAAATAGTTAATAACAAAGTTTACCTTGATTTGAGTTTAAGTTTTTTCGAAAAATACCAAGAAATAACAATAAAAGAAGAACAAGAAATTCATGGAAAAGTTAAGCAGAATCTTAAAATTCAACTCCAAGGAGAATTTGTTCAAAATTTTAAAATAGGAGAACTAATACAGGTAGCAGGTATTTTATTTCCAGATGATCCAAAATTTAGTAGAGAGCCATTGGAAGAGAAAGAGGTTTATCTGGATGCAATGTATCTATATAGAAAAATCAGTTTTGATAAAAAATTGGAAAACAAATTAAGTATAAGACAAAAAATACTCGAGATATGCAAAGATTCTAATTTTTATTCTCTAATTTCTAATTCGATAGCTCCTAATATTTATGGGAATTTGGACATCAAAAAAGCCTTTTTGCTTTCCTTGGTTAGCTCTTTTTCTTCCAAAAATTCAAATTCTTATAACCTAAAAAGATATATAAACATTTTAATTTTTGGAAATAATGGAAGTGGAAAGTCTAGTTTATTAAAATTCATGTCTGATATTAGAACCACGGGTTTATATCTTAATTCTAGTTTTCTTATCGATTCCTTTGAGACACAATTTAAGGAAGAAAAATATGCAGAAAAGCCTTTTAATCTCAGAAATAATTCTTTTTTAGGTTTAAATAAAGATCTATTATGCGTTGATGAAATAGAAAATTTTTCGCATGAAAAAAAAAAAATCTTCTATGAAATCTTAGAAAAACAGCTTTGTGGGGAAATAAAAACTTCCAAACAATTCAATTCTAGTTTTACTTTAATCGCATCTTCATTTGATATTCAAAGAAATTTAATTTTTCAGCAGTCATTGGAAAAAAAATCAGAAAATACTGATCTTTATAAAAAATTTGATTTATGTTTTTCTCTAAATAATTCAGATGTTAAAAACTATGACCGTAAAGTCGCCAACTATATAACAGAAAAATATAAATATCAAAAAAAAAAAACAATAAACAATGGTTTATTAGAAAAAAAAACTTTAGAGGCGTATTTGAACGAGGCCTCTAAAACTCGTACTTTTTTTCCTGCGAAATTATTTGACGTAATTACTTACAATTACGTAATTTCCAAAGTCCAAGAAACAGACGGTCAAATTATTTTATCAAATGTCAAATATATTTTTACAATTTTTAGGTTAAGTTTGTCACTAGCGCAATTGCGTTTTCAACTTTTAGTATCCGAATCAGATGTTCAGGAGGCTATCCGGTTAGTTGAGTTAAGCAAAAAAAACTCTTACTTTTCAGAAAATAAAGAAGGAGAGAGAAAAAATTCAACAACTCAAAATAAAATATATAATTTGATCCGAAACGTAAGTTATCGCGAAAAGATTTTATCTCTTGATTTATTTTCAATTGAAAAATTAACATTATCGCATGGATATTCTAGATTAGATTTGATAGAATGTCTTGATTTTTTCGAATCATTGAGTGTATGGACCATCAGTTTAACCCAAGGAAAAATAGTGTTTCTCGTTTAAATTATTTCCAGATTTTTAAAATTTTAATTAAAAAATAAAATGTTTTTATTTTTTGATAAAGGATTTATATTTATTTAAAGGTTAAACTATATTTTTTATAAAAGCATTTGTATTTTTTTTATTAATAAACCGTATGAAAAATATTTAATAAATTAATGAATAAAGATTTTTTTAAAATTTAAATTAAAAAAGAAATGCCAATAAAAAATTGGTGTCATACCCTTATCGAAAAAATCAAAAAAAATGATCAAAAAAATTTAAAAAAGAAAAAACAAAGAAACAAGTGGGCAATTTTTGAAAATTTTTTGAAAATTTTTCCCATGGCTGGAAAATTCAAAAAGTTCAAAATAACTGAAAAATTCGAAAGCTGTGCTTTTTCAGAATGGGAATCTAAAAAACTGCCATGCAACATAAATTTTGAAATTAAAAAAACTATACAAAGGCTTTGTGTAAAAAAAATTCAAAAAGTGTTACTCCAATTTCCCGAAGGTTTTCATAATTTCTATGGATTTTTATTCAATATTATAAATTTTTGCAATATATTTGGAAGAAAGTATTATATTTCTAATCTGGTAACGTATGGCGCATGCTGTATTGAAGATTCGATGGGAAAATATACAGGTTTTGAAATTTTGATTCATTATGGACATAGTTGTTTGATTCCTATTTCAGAATGTTTTATTTCTTTGATTTATGTTTTTTTAGAAATAAAATTTGACTATTCTTTTTTAGTTGAAAGTTTGAAAAGCTACTTTTTCTGTTATAAAAATAGTATTTCTATCTTTTCAACTGTCCAGTTTATTTCTAGTTTAAAAAACATCAAAAAGGACCTGTTGTCATTTTTTGAAATCTTAATATTTAAGAAAAACAAGCCTCTTTCGCCTGGAGAGATTTTGGGTTGCACTAGTTTTAAACAAAAAAATTTTCACAATACATTGTACATTGGAGACGGAAGATTTCATCTTGAAAGTATTGTCATATCAAACTTTAATGGACGTTTTTTACAGTTTAATCCATATTCCAAAGCTTTAAGTCTCGTTGGATACAAGTATTTTCAGATATTTAATGAAAGAGAAAAAAATATCAATTACTCTGTAAAAAATATAAAAAATTTTGGATTTATTATAGGTTCACTGGGAAGGCAAGGGGGTGATAAAATTTGCAAAAGACTAAGTGAATTAGGAAAAAGAACAAAATTAAACTTTATAACTGCAACTTTAGGGGAAATAAATTCTGATAAAATAGAAACAATAGGCAGACAATCCATTGATGCTTGGGTTCAAATTGCTTGCCCTCGTTTAAGTATAGACTGGGGATTTTCTTTCAGAAAACCCATATTAACACCTTTTGAACTCTCGATAGTCCTGGGTTTAACTACTTGGAATAAATTGGTTTATCCTATGGATTTTTATTCAAATAAAAGTGGTTACTGGAGTAATTATGCTAAATTAAATTCTTCTTATAAATTTTATTTAAATAATATTGATTATAAAATAAAATCGAACAAACATATTTTTAAAATTCATGAAAGAAAGTGAATTTTTTGAAATTTTGTCAATTAAAACCTTGAATAATGGTTGTAAAATCAATAAAGATTTTGAATTTGAAATTTTTTACCAAATCAAAAATGTTCTCGAAGAAGGTAAGTTCTTGAAAAAACCAAATTCAAATTCTTTTTTTTTTAAAAAAAATATTTGTAAGTTTTATAGATTAATAAATTTAAAGATTTCCAAATAAAATTCATTTATGTTGTTTCTCCTTTAAATGAAAAAAGCGATCAAGAATTAGAATCGATCAAATTACCAGCAAATAAAATTGGCAAATTTAGGGTGCAACTGAAATTTCCTCCTCCTGATTTCAGCAGCATTTCTCTTGAAGAAATTATAGGAGTTACGATAATTCTAATGATTATTTCACACCAAAAAAAAGAACAGTTAAGGATTGGATATTATGTTTCTAATGCTTTTAACAAAGATTTTCCAAATGATACAAGATTTCAAAGAAAAAATAATCTTAAATATATTACAAGAAAAATCATAATAAATCAACCCCGTATTACAAGATTCTTCGATTAAAATCATTTTTACTTAAAAAGAATATTAATTTTATTAATTTTTTTGTAAAATACAATGAAAATGGTTTTTACTAATTTTTTACTAATTTTTCCTGTTTCAACGGGAGCATACGGGATTTTTTTCAAATTTTTAAACAATTTAAATAAAAAGAATTACATGCTTATTTTCATTAAATATTGGTTGAAAATTTTAGAAGAAAATCAAAATCATACTAAATCGGAAAATTTTTATCTTTTCTTTTTATTATATTTAGGAACAAAAAATTTAAATTT